CGAACTTAGAAATTAGGTAATGCATTCGGATTTTTTATATATGTAGTATTCTTACATTCGGATAAAATTAGAATTCAGATGATATATGTTATCAATGACATTCAATTAGTCGAAATTTTTCATCAAATTTATTGTCCTTTCAATGTGACTTGAATGTCCGTTTAGATGAAACAATCCAAACTTTATTAATCTAACATTGAATATTTCAATTTTTTAAGTTAGAATGAAAATTATGACATTATTGCCTATATGTGTAACCGTATAAAACTGTTAAGAGTTTCTAATAAGGTTCTTTCTTTGAATATTTTGATTATTATTTTCAATTAGATCAAATTGATTTTTTTTTGGGTATGTGGTGTTTGAATGTAGGTATAGGTTCTTAATCTTGAGGTTGTGGGATCGAGGGCATTTTATAATTTGGAGATCTCCTACGGAAGTTGCTCTCAACCTAGTGTTGGGGGCAGTCTACTATCTTACCTCTCCCTTTATTCCATTATATATGGAAACAAGGGACATCCATTTATAGTGTCTAGAATAAGTCATGTTGAGGGGTGAAGTGAAATTAAAAATGTGGTCGGTGATTGGCGGAAAAAGTAGGGGTGTGCAAATCCGGGTATCCGAAGTGTTGGGTACTCTAATCTTAGGTAATTGATTTCTTGACCTGTTTCTTGACCCAAATGTTGCGAGTACCCAGTAATCGGGTACCCGGATTTTGCGGGTACCTGAAAATTGATTTTTTTTGGGTATGTGGTGTTTGAATATAGGTATAGTGTCTAGAATAAGTCATGTTGAGGGGTGAAGTGAAATTAAAAATGTGGTCGGTGATTGGCGTAAAAAGTAGGGGTGTGCAAATCCGGGTACCCGAAGTGTCGGGTACTCGGATCTTAGGTAATTGATTTCTCGACCCGTGTCCCGACCCATATGTTGCGAGTACCCAGTAATTGGGTACCCGGATTTTGCGGGTACTTGTATTTTGGGTATCCAAATACCCGTTTCTTTTTCTTCAAATTATTAATTAAAAAAATACACAAATTTAAATGTTCAAAACTTCAAATTATATAGTCCAATATCCAAACATAAAATTTAAAAGTTCGAAATACAAAATCTAATAATCCATAATATAAATAAAACATAAAAGTTCATAGCTAAATGTAGTAGATATCTTTATACTTGAATCATGATCATGTATACACTTCTTCATTTGTTATTCTCCTTTCTATAAGCAATTTTTATATTAGATATAAATAAACAACCAATATCTTACGAAAATGCAAAACGAAAACGTGACTAAACTTTCATCATAACAAGTATCAAGTAAAGCTTTCATCAATGAAAATATAAAATTTAATAGCTTACTAAAATTTTAATCGGGTGGGTGATTGCCTGATTGGGTGTTTAGATGTTTACTTTTATTTAATATATAATATTATTACTAATTAAATATATAATAATATAATATTATTATATATAAAAGAATCCCTAATCGGGTACTTGGGAAATTGGGTGCTCTGAAAAATTCAATTTTGTGATATGGGCCCAACCTGGGAAATGTCGGGTCGGGTACTCGACCTGGTCGTGTAAATTTTTTTAAAAAAAATCCTTTTTTAGGTTCGGGTCGACGGTTCTGGTATTTTTGCTCATCCCTAGTAAAAAGGGTGAAATTTATTTATAAAAATATAAAAATGAGGTGAATAATAGGGATGCTCAAAGTTTGGGTTTAATCGAATTAATCGATCGAATTTGAAGTTTTTTTCAGTCAATTGGTTGGTTAATTTTTGGTTTTAACATAATTAATCATAAATATTAAAATATATATTATTTATAAATTTTAGTTAATTCGGCCAATCGATCGATTAACCGAACTCTATTCTGTTCAGTTAAATTTTTTTTTAAAAAATTTCAATTCAAATAACGATTAAGAGGAAAGTTTTCTGATAAACAATTTTTTGATATTTCGATTCGATTGATTAACCGAACCAATCGATTGAACACTCATAATGAACAACACTTGACTTTTATATTAAGAAACAAAAATGTGAAAATTTTATGATAAACAATTTGTTGCCTTGTTGTTGTTCTGCGTTTGCTTTGTTTCTGTTGTGATGTTTTTTTTTGTTTATACCCTTCTATAGCTTTTTTGGTGTACATATACCCCCGTATAACTGGATGGTGCAGTCTCAATTTATTGGGGATTTTGCACATTCGTACTTCGTCGCTAAGTTGACCGGAAAAATCAGGGAAGTATTTTCCCTTTTGCTTCTGTTTTGCTCCGGAAATCTTGGCCGATTGGTGACCTACCTTGGATAGTGACTGTTGATGCGTTGGGTCAGGCTTATTGAGCTTCCTCATGGGCTTCGGCAGCTTGCTCACTGGGTCAGGTGAGCTTGTTGCTGGGCTTCCTGGACTTGGATATGAACCGTCGAAATCGTTGGTCGCCGTTAGAATATTTTGTTTGTTAGTTATCTGATTGATTGTCATTTTCTTTGTTTATTGTGAGTATGATTGTCTGGTATTTTGTTTGGAAAATGTCATGTGAAATATGTTGATATATCAAACTTAGAAATTAGGCAATGCATTTGGATTTTTTTATATATGTAATATTCTTACATTCGGATAAAATTAGAATTCAGATGATATATGTTATCAATATATAAATTTCATAGGGTGTTACAACCCCTATCTCAACTGGTGAATGTCACTTAGGATTCAGTGGTCTTTATAACTGACCCCACTACGATTAAGAATTAGTTATTGAGTAATACTAGTTCATCATACTCTCTCCCCTATCTCAAGGGTTGTCGATGGATTGCTTTTTGCCTCCCGGTGATTTGAAGAAGGAAGAGGAAGGGTTCGGGATCGTATCGAGAAACATAAGGTTGTCGTTCCGAGTTAGACATGATCAATCTAATAGGGTTAACGGTTCCAAAGTTATTGCCATAGATGTTGATGAATGTGACGACGATTCCTCCTCGGACGATGATGATTTGTTTTGAATTCGACTCCATGTAATATTAATTTGTAAATATTAATACTACAAAAATATACGTATTTTGTTAGCTCTATGTAGTATTTTATTTAAATTAATCGATCAATGAGTCGGAGACTCGGAATAAAGACTCGGCAACTTCTTGCCTTTTTCACATCCAAGAACAAAAAGGATTGTTGTAGAGACACTGCAATATGCAAATATATATCGGAGTTTCATAACATTGCTTGTTGTTCAAGCCATATGATACTAATAATATAAACGCCATGCTTTCGGATTTAACTGTCGAGACGAACCGAAGATGTAACTCGATCGTAAACCGAGAGGCTCGCCCGGGCACCGTCTTGGCTATCGTAGCCGAAACGAGTGTCGCAAGTTTGGATATCGGTTTTCTCAAGAAGTTACGTTACAAGATGGAAGAGCCAAGAGATTACAAAGGCGAAAACCATACATGCTAGCAGGAAATTTAGAAACCGATGGACTAGCCGGAAGTTTCGGGTTTCCGCAGCACGAATGGCAGTGGGAACCGTCACTGCTGCTGCCGCTGCTGTGGAATCGTACACTTCGTTCCACGGCCCGATCGTGTCGATATCAATTGTTCATATAGGAACATGGATACCCTTGAACATAGTACTAACAATACGATGTAACGACCGGATCATAACGATTTTCAAAGTCAGTACGACACAATAATCGTAAAACCCGAATTTGAGTAAGAAAAGAACGATTCCCGGAGCTGAACCACATGTAAAGCATCATGGTGGTTTATCAAGCATTAACAACAAAAGTATCTCATCAATTTTTTTAACAGAACAAACCAAAAGACAAATAAGTCATCAAATTTCCTACAAGAAGCCAGACAGGCCCTCTTGAATTGAAGTTTAATTATGCATCGTCTCTCTCAAATAAGAAGGCTATATGATTTTTCTGGGTAAACTATGTATTAAGTCGTCCACCTATTCTCGAGATTCTACTTTAATAATTCAACTATTTAAAAAAAATCACACCTGAAGTTATATTTTTGTCACTCGTCGTTCAAAAATTAACAGTGATATTGATGTGTCACCACAAAAAATATTATCATTGAAAAAAAATCATGTCAGCAATTCTCTTTATTTTTAAACGATCGATAACCGAAAAGAATGTAAAATTAGGAGGAAAAAAAATAATAGAATGACCAAAATAAAATTACTAAAATAGTTGAATAATTAAATATACAATTTACCCTTTTTGATGAATACTGTTTTCAAGTGTTGATGTTCCTCTTTTCTCTCTGTTTTTCGGTTCAAAACAGCATTCTCTTTTATCACGAACAATAATAATCCTGAACGATATCACGATCTTAAAAGAACACAACATTCTCTTTTATTATATAGATCAATTGATAATTTTTTAATTGAAAATTGAGTATTCATTATCGATAATAATAATTCGGCTTAAATGTTACTTTTACTCTTATAGTAGACTTAACATATCATTTTCGCATTATAGTTTTTAATTTTAATTTAGCCCTCGAAGTTGTTTAGGAGCATCATCCTAGCTTTCGAAGTCCGTTTTAACTTACATAATCGTTAGTCTTCTGCATTTGTCGACGCTAGCAATTCCGACGACAACTAATATTATTGATGTGACTTGATGATGACGTGACATTTATTTTAAAAATAAATAATAAAATACTTAAAATATTTACTAAATACAACAATTAGAAAAAGATACCCAAAATTTTGATCTAATCACTTAATTTCACTGAAATAAATAATACAATCTTGAGAATTTTTTCTAATTGTTGTGTTTAATGAATATTTTAACCAAATATTTTAATCCATAGGCGCATAAGACTCATGGTTCTATTAGTCAAAACAATTAACAGACTTTGAGAGTTAGGATGATTCCCTAAACAACTTCGAATGCTAAATTGACGTAATTAAAAAAAATAGAGACAAATAATATCGAGTTTTGCATAAAATAAAATAAAAAAACATAAACAACATATCATCCTATACCCTAAACCCTCCAACATGAAAAAACATTAAAAAAAATCTAACAATATGATCACTCTTTCTATATAGAATCATATCTTTAGTTCAAACCCTCCACCTCAGATCGCGTCGTACACATTTGTTTAGCCATCTCCGTCGGCATAACTTCCTTCGACATGCCTGTTAACCTGCTTGGTCCGACATTGAAGCGCACGGTGTCCGATATCCCTATTTGCATGCATGGAGTAGCTCCTTGAGACATTCTCTGGCCCGCAGCATTGCTCGGTATCCTACCGTAATTGTTCTCGAGACCGCTCTTTATCCATGCAATGTTGTTTAAATCAGTTGCTATGGAGATTAGTTCGTGGCTCGAAAAAGCGGGGGGCTCCTCGTAGTCGAGGAACTCTGGCCCCAACAACGAACTCTGAGAATGACCCCCACATGGAGTTGAGCAGCAACCGAATCCGCATCGCAAGGGAATGACTGGTTCACAGCGAAGATCTTCTAGGATTTTCCCGACTCCCCAGTCTGCCCTGGATGATTGAGCTAGAGGCCCTTGCATTGGGATTCTATTCATCATTCCGGACTCCGTTTTAGAACTTCTAGGAGCATTATATCGGCTGAATGCACTAACATGGGCAACTGGACGACAAACGGTAGGATGGTCCTTTGGTTCAACGGCAGTTTGATCCTCTTGTATCGGTGGTTTGTCTTCTTGAAAGTTCGGTCTATCGCCCATCACTACATCTCTTCCTTCTTGAGGCCTGAAGTGGTTTATATCTCCAGCCGACAGTGTTTCCCCCGAGGAAGCTTTTGATCTCTCAAGGCTGCCATCTTCCATCATATCAGCCGGCCCGGGTTTAAATCTACGCTGTTCCATGCATCGACGTCTTAAGGTAGAATTCCAATGGTTCTTAATTGCATTATCAGTTCTACCGGGCAAGAGTTTTGCTATTGAAGCCCATTTGTTGCCGTGGATCGCATGAGCTGAAATTATAATTCGGTCCTCTTCATCTGCAGATGGTTACATAATAGATTTTGCCAGTGAGTTCCCATATAAGAAAACTATTCATTCGTCCGGCATCGTTTCTCAGCAGCACAATGAGAAACAAAATCGAGACCTCAAGCTCACCTCGAAAAAGAAATTCATGCTGCATGATACAAAGAATGAAAAAGAAAACGAGAGACACCACCCTCCTATCAAAAGATATGCATATCATTGTTCAAAATTGAAATCTTCATACATCTTCCTCGACAACAGACATTAATAATATATACTAGGCATAGAAACGGATTCAATAATCCGACACTGCAGTTTCGGAGAGTTCCCCTAAAGTTCAAGAATCAAGCAAAACAACCTAGAAATTCTAAAACAACCCCAACCCCGCTGTTAAAAATCTTGCTCTATGTGATGCTTTACACTTACAAAAAGCCATAGAACTCCTGTGCTAAGATCAACTAGGTAAAGATACATTGTTCTAAGTACACAAAGCAGAAGAGAATAGAGTTACAAATAAAATGAACTGGCCTTCCGACTTGGTCTCCACTCTCAGCTACCCGAAAACAATAGCAAACAAAACAAAACTTAAATGCACACATCAACCTCAATAACTCCGAACATTCCGATGCGAGAACGTGGGTGTGTGTGATCAACAGTCAACACAGCTTCGACTGACTTCCAATGGCACCCATCAATACACGCATTACTCGTGAAAAAGGAATGGAATCGAAGTTGAAAACAAACGAATTTCAAGCAACAAACATAAGACAAGAACAGAAAACATGTTCTCCATTTCGACGCCGATTTCGACTAGCACAGAGAGGTATCACACTCTAGAGCTTACTATTACTTCTAAGCAACAGAGATACAAGCTTTGCAATACAATGTAACAGAGTAGTAAATTTAGAGCACTAGGAAACAAAAGCGAACTCCGACGAAACTTCGAACAGTTGAAGCATAAGAATCAAACATCATCAAGCAATCAACATTGATCCAAATGTAAAACAAGAAGAAAAACAGTGTTTTAGACTTAATCAGACAAAGAACCAAAAAAAAAAAAAGGGACACACCTTGTCTTGACTTCCCACATTCCAACCAACAGGAAAAACAGGAAACAATAACTACCCATTCTAGAACAGAAAAAAAAACCTAAACGAAAAACACCCAAATCCTCATTTAAAGGAAGAAAAAGGAATTCACCGGTGAAAGGCTTGCGCTTGAGGCAAGGGTCGAGCTGGTTGCACCAACGAAGCCGGCACGATTTCCCCGACCGACCCGGAATTCCTCGCGCGATCAAACTCCAATTCCTTGCCCCGAACTTCGTCACCAGCCGACTCAACACGGCGTCTTCCTCCGGCGACCACGGGCCTTTCACTCTGGTATTACCATCATCACCACCGCCATCAGCGCCACAAAGCTCCGACTCAGCCGCAATAAGCTCCGACTCATCGACGCCACTTCCGGAACCACTACCACCCGCCGCCGGCGAGTACTGGCGGTTGCTCTCCTTTTCGTCCTCCATCTTTTGGGGTTTATTACCTACCTGCCCAACTGCAAGAGAATATCGATTTTTTATTATTATTAAAGGGCATATTTTTCGGTGTTCTTTTTTGTGAAATGACTGTTATGTCCCTGTTTTTCCCGCTTCAAAACGGCGAGGTTTGTTATTTTATCGGCATCGTGTTTGACTTCGGTTGACTTCTGTTCAAGTGGGGCCCATTCGTTGGTGGTCAATGACATTCTAACCCTTGAACTTCGTGTGCTCTGTATCAAGGTTTTTAATGTAAAAATCGATGGACGTTTGGGTATTTTTGGTATGTGAGATTCCGTTATTTTGTTGGGCCACACCGCATGAGAAACCGCCTTCAGTTTTTCGTATTATAAAGTAGACCAGTGTTTGTACAGTTCCCTTTATGTTTGGTTTAGTTTCAAATGGACTCGAACCGACAGGTTCCGACTCGATTCGATTTGATCGAGTCATATTTTTTAAAAATAATTTGAGTTTGGGTTAAGTTGAATCAAATTTTTAAGGTTATGTTTGGATTTGTTAGGGTTCGAGTTTAGAGTGAAAAATATCTTACTCGACTCGAAAAAATGTAATTTTATCTTATATATTTAGGATAATTGCAATGATATCCCTCCCTATATTATTTTCTTTCAATTAAATACCTATTTTTAATTGAAAAAAATTAATATCTTTAAAAAATATATATTATTCCGGGTCAGGTCAGGTAGGGTTCGGATTTTATCTCAAAAAATCGGATCAAGTTCGGGTCAAGTGGAAGGTGTATATTTTTTGGGGTGGAATTCGGGTTGTGTGGAGGATTTATAATTTTTGGGTCAGGACAGATGGACTGAAAATCCGATTCAACCCGACCTATGTCCATCCCTAAATAGGCAAATGGGTTAACGAAATTAGATTCTAGGGTAAACTACACATTTAGTACTTAAACTATTACTTTTGGTTTATTTTAGTATCTAAACTTTTATTTTTTTCAAAATCATATCTAACATTTAATTTTTGTTTCATTTTAGTACATACCATTAAGAACATAACGTGTGTAATATTTAAACTATCAATTTTTGCTCATTTTAGTACCTAAACTTTCATTTTTCTCAAAACTTAAAGTTAAATTTTGAACATGGATACTAAAATGAAACTAAAACTAAACTTTAGATATGGTTTTGAAAAAAAATAAAAGTTTAGGTACTAAAATAGAACAAAACTAATAGTTTTTATACGAAAAGCATAATTTACCTTAGATTCTGTAACACCTTAAACCAGTTTGACACACAATCGACCAATCCGGGTGCCACACGGAACCACCGAAGTGGCTGACCAATTTTTTTTATCACTTTCTCTTACTTTAGAACAACTATTGCAATAATAAAAATAAATTGTTTGATATACAAAATCTTACAAAAAACATAATTGAAACTTTAACACTGGAGAGCTCTCATAATAAATAAAAACATTTTCAAAAATATACAGACTGACTCTTGATTGACTTTACAACTCAATACAATTGAATTTATGAATATACATGCCATTTAAGAAACTTGTGGCATTCTCTGCTCTGCACTGGATCTGGACCTCGGTCTCTCTAAATCTTGTCAAACTAATTGATCTGCTAACCTGCCAATAGAAATGTCACACTAAAAATTAGGTCATACTAAAAGTGCATCATAAAAACTACATCAAGCTTCTCAATCAATAAAGAATATCTTCGTGATATTCACTCTCTACTCTAATTGTAGAGATCATGGTGCGACTGAGGGATCTCTGCATCTCAGAGCTCACACACCCCTTTAGTCTACCAAGGATATGGCCCCCGAAATTTTTACATCGGACACCATACCCCTGACTGACCCACCCCTTGCGAGCGTCAGGTCTTGACCTTAGTTAGTAAGTTATAAGGGCCTTGCGCCCTACCTAAGAATATATCCGGACTGCATCTATACTTTTGACTCCACTAGCTTTCTAAAGGAACTTGAGTGTCCGAATCGTTTTCCGAGCATCAAACAATGCTAGTCTTATTTCATCCTAATCATTTAGGTTTCTACGTTTGAATTAAGTTTGATATTGTTCTCACTTGTAGTCTTATTTAGGAGTAATTAAAAGTTTTGGGAAAACCTCAACTCTTCTTAACATTCTCGTAAAAGTTCTACCTAAAAATATGACTTGGTATCGATACTACCCTCTCAATATCAATACCACCCCTTTAGTATCGATAGCCCCTCAAAGGTATCGATACCCCCAGCTATTTTGCCTTACTTTATGCCAAAACATAACCTTGATATCAATACTAGCCTTACAGTATCGATACCCACTCTTCAGTATCGATACTCACTCTTCAGTATCGATACCGAAATGACATTATGGAATCCCGGTCTCGATACCGAGCACCCTGGGCTCTGAAAACAATATGCATATATTCTATATAAAATGTGATCCTAATGCACAATCAAGCGATCTCGGTGGTTAAAGGAATTGTTGTTATTCTTTGAGGTCCCAAGTTCGAGCATAAGGAATATCAAGGGTGTGAGCGTTCAATGTCAAATGGTTGAGGATTATCTTTAAATAAATATTGCCTTATACTTACCTAGATTAATAAAAAAATGTGAGCCTAATTTGAATAATCTTTAGAACCTCAACCCTTACAAATTCTACTAAAATCTTATTGGCACCAACCAATTGCATACCTAATTTCAATGGGGCATATGACCCTCTAAATGAGGAATTACCATTTGTGTATCCTTTGGCAAGGGACCCTCTAAAAACTCTTTTTGCACCTTATATTCTTCCTTTTCCCTACCTTATACCGAAAAAGATGTTTTAAAATATCAATAAAAAGATCTTAAAATGAAAAAAAAGGAAAAGAAAAGGAGAAGTAACCGATGTTCGTAGTGGTGATGGTATAAAATTTCACTAAAAAGCAAAGTTTAAGCGGTTGATAAGTAATGATGATTCCGACAACCAAGAAGTTCATAAAAACTTTATATTATATACCACCAAATCAACAATAGAATGGATCCTAATGTTACACTTTTAATGATGAGTAGTATCCCCCACAACAATTGAAAACATTGAATTTTCGTATGATTAAGTTGACTTAATCATGGAAGCATGATCAAATCCACTTTATTTTACTGCATTTTCATTTAATTAAGCTCGGGTCTTTTGCACGAATCAACTTACTTAAGTGGTTAAAGAATTGTTGTTCCTAGAGGTTATAAATTCGAGCACCAACAACAGCAGCAGAGTGATTGAGCGTTCATCTCCGATCAGTCAATTTCAAGTTTAAGTTATTTCGAACTTAGGTCAATCTCAGGATCAAGTTGTATGGAATTCATGTCATTAAATATCTAACATTGTTATATTTTAACCCTAAGTTCTAAACCCTAAATTGATGAAAATGCAAGAGAAAACTAAATTCAAATTTCACCAATTTTGTCTTTAATTTATCAATTAGTAGTTGGTCTAGCGGGATAATGTGCTAGCTATTTTCTTTAAACAAAATTAAATGTTTAAATCCTAATCTTTTGAACAGAGAAAACCGGATTGAGAGAGTCTTACTCATAATAATTCTCTATAATACATGATTCATATTAACTGTTTAATGGATCAAATACCGATAGTTTAAAAAAAATCCTAAATTTAGATTTTAAAACTTAAAATTTTCAATTTTCCCATTTTTGAGCAATGTCTATAATCCTAAGTTACCATGAAATTCAAGGTGGTTGAATTTACATCAATGGTGCAGCATTCACGATTTATTTATCTAGCTACAACTGGTTCAACAATGCCAATAGTTTGTGGTCCAATGAGTGGGTTAGTCGCTTCTCTCTGAAAATTTAAAATTATAATATATTTTAAATTTTTTATGTATTTTTATTAAAAATTTATTTTTATATTCCTTAAATTTTATAAATTCAAGTTCGGCCACTAAAATTTTAAATATTTAAATTTATCCTCTAACATAAACTTCTATATCTGTTCCTGTTGTGGTCCAATCAATTAAAAGAATAGTTGAATAGTTTAAAAGTTGTAGGACCATCATATGATAATTGCATATATCCAGAAGGTTATAAAATTCCACACAATTTGGTAGGTAATAATTTTAAATTTTAAATTTCGAAATCCGAGATTTTAATTTTATATTAATTTAATGTAAATATACAATTCATTAAGTGTACAGGTGGGGGCTATTTTAATAAGGAATAAATGTCCACAAGTTGCACAAATAAAAATCGTCCTCCTACGTTAACCGTAACAACATTTTTTTTGTATGGTTCTAATATAGTTCGAGATTAATCGTAATAATAATCATCCTACAAATAATAAATGTTTGAGATATTATTTTTTAACATTTTCTTATATGATCATAATATTAAGTGATTGGTTTATTCAGTCAATAATTATAGTAAAAAATCATGGTTATGAGTTTAATTATAGTGATGAAAATTTATGTCAATAAAAAAAGGGACAAAATATGTTCTTCTATGCACTCTTTCCCTCGATGGGAAGTTCTACAATGCGGTAACCTTAATATAAGGTTAAGGAAAGATGTTATTGATTTTGTTATTTTTTTTTGACAAAATCGGTAAAAAAATACCTAAAAAATTATTATTTATACCTAAAACATTAATGTTTTTTAATATTTCCAATAAAGTGTCCAATAATAACAAAACCGGTAGAAAAAAATAATAAAACCGGGAAAGCGCTCAATAATAACAAAATCGGTAGCACCTTTCCTTAACCGCATATTAAGACTGTCACACGTGAGACTTTTTCCCCGGATGGAAACAAGTAGAGGATACAATCAAAAACTTTGTTTTGACGTCATAATTTTACAATATTATCTATTCAAGAAGTTTACTTCCCCCCCCCCCGGTATTGTATGTAATTTATGTATTAAACGTGATATTAAATATTGTATCGAATATATTACAAATTTCGGTTATGATTTATACAAAACGAACTTCACTTCAGTTATTTTCACGTAATAAAGAAAGGAAAAGGGTAAAAAAGTCACTTTGCATGTCGTCGATTTATGTTTTTTTAATCAATTTTGATAACATATATATCTTACAA